CACCCACGCCGGCCCCCGTCCCACCTCGCGGCGCAGCCCTGGCGCTCCTGCTGGGGGGCAGGGCCCATCTGCCGCCTGGGGTCCCGGTGCGGTGCACCAATCCGAGGAGTGTGCTCAGGCCGGGCTTTCCAGAAGGCCACAGGCCCCTGCAAACCCTGCTGCCTGCCGGCCGCCCAGACACCACAGACGCCACCTCGCGGCCCTAAGCCACTCCCGCCACACGCTTACTCCAGGTTTGTATAGAAAAAGCACAGCTCTCACTGGCCAGTAGCTGCCAAAAAGAACACCCATCGTATATGGAAATCCAGCCCCATAGAAAACAATCTGCCCACCAACCCCCTTTCTACAGATAGCCTTTGTGGGGTTTTTTGGGTTCTTTTTTTTTTTTTTTGTCCTGCTGAGTACTATGTATTACACCCCCCAATCCAAGATCAGTTTTCCTAGTCTTTGGGAAACGGGTTGTGGTTTTTTTCCTTTGCTGTGTTGGATTTCCGGTCCCGGCTGACACCCCCCTTCGTGTGTGCGCCCCTCCCCACCTCTGCCTTTGTTTCGGTGCCCTGTGTCCGCTCTCTCATGTGGGGATGTTTGTGCTGCAGACAAAAAGAACAAAAAAAAATTTTTAAATACCACAAGATGGAAAAAAAAAACACAAAAAAATTTAAAAAGATGGAATGTAGTGTTTACATTAAAGCCACCGTTTTCATGACCAATCCTATGTCATTTCTACTTTGACTAATATCCAAACCCCAAACCTCTTCACGGTTTCACTTTTAAGACTTAATCTTTGCTGAAGAAGACCAGTCACAGCCATTTCAAATAAAGAGGAGGCAAAAAGACAAAACACACAAAAAATAAAAATAAAAAAAAAAAAAGGAAAAAAGAAAAAAAAGCCCACGGGTCTTTGTAAGCCTTTCTATTCCCAATCGGTGAGGTTTCTGTGATATCTTACACACTGCCAGTCTACTTCTCTGACTAATGGAAAATTCCTGTGTAGCTCAATAAAAGAGAATGTTTGTCTGTACTCCTGAGTCTCACCCTGTGCCTTCCAACAATGGTTATTTGGGGTGGGCTTCATTCTGGCAGGAGAGGGAAGGAGGGACTCGGCCACACACGCTGGCAGGCCGGCAGTTAGGAGTCCCCGACAGGACCTTCCCATCCCCAGGGCCGTCACTGGGGCCCCAGCTCAGAGCACAGTTGACGCGACCACTGCCCAGTGCCACCTGGGAATGAGGGCAGGGGAACTGCCACTTTCTCCTGCGATGTTCTCTCCTCCCGGCTCCTGGCCCCTCCTCACCCTCAGCAGGTTGTTTGCTTTCGAGAAATGAGGTGGAAGTGGGGATTAGGAAGGAAGAAATGCAAGGCGGGCAGGCGAGCCCCCTCTCCTATCATGCAGGATCCTCTTTCTTCTGTAGCCAGCGGTTCCCCCACAATGGGAGGAATGGTCCCAAGAATGAGGCCAATTGCCTGAGCCCATCTGCACCCAAGAGTTCCCAGCCACTCACGTGCCCAGGACGAGCTTGGGCCCAGCCTGACCAGGAAGGCTGCCTTCAATTTGCTCCCTGACTGCACCTGGATGTCAGGAAGCCCCCTGCAGACCAAACATGCAGAGGGTAACCCAGCAGTGCGGTGGGGCGTGCGGAGTCTGATCCCTGTTCCTCCCCCAGACTGTAGGTCTCACCCATCCCCTACATCGGCCCGCTTTTGCTGTAATAATTAGCAAATGGGTTGCAACAAGGGCCTGGAGGCAACAGCAGCCCACTGAACTCCTTGCATCATATCCACGTGCCACTTACTGGCCAAGCGGCCAAGAGCATCATGTATCATGCCGTCTTCAGTGAGATGGGGGAGCTGCCAAAAGGTCAGTTACCTGGAATCCTCTCTGCATCCCAACAAATGGGAATTAGAGGCTCAGAAAGGCCTCTCTCGGGCAAGTTCCAGCAGCCTTTTGAATCAAGGGAGTGGAGGCAGGGGATATTGTTTCAGAGACTACGGAAGAACAAGAGGCACTGTTACGAATACCCAACCAATACAGGCACCCCTTAAACCTCTTCTGCTTTTCCCCCAGTTCCCCAGACCCCAACTTGTTATCTGCAGAGAGAGGCACATGACCTACCTTCTCTATTGAGGGGAAGGTTTGCAATCCAGGCCCCAGTTTGACTCTGTAACAAACCAAGATCCACATGGAAGGCTGAAGGAAACCATGACATTTTCTATATATGGCATATTTGAATTTCTCTAAAAACTGAGCCATATTCTCGTAGGGTTCTTTCCCAACTTTCAAATGAGTTTTGCAGATAAAACCAACAGAAGTTTATTTGCCTCATTTTTCTTAGATGGGAGGTCATAGCATTTTTTGGAAAGGATGCAGCAAAAAGGCCAATTAAATTGCAACAAGGAGAGTGGGGGCAGAACCTATCTGTTATATATATTTTTAAAGATCCTTTTCCCCCTCTAGCTTATCTGTGCACACAATTGGAAAAAGCTAGTTCTAATTAGAACCAAATCAAATAGATTTACTTCCAATGGCACCTAAAAACCTTCTAGAAGAAATTCTGAGAAAACTGCCTCTATTCAGGAGGTAAACAAAAGGTATCCATCATCGCCACCTGTGGAATCCCTCCAGGTCTGATCTCTGCCCTGAAACTCTACTGAGAAAGTCGAAGAGTCAGAGTCACTGTGAACCTCTTCTGGCTCTGGGGGCTGCCAGATTCCTGACTGTTCTTTGCCCAGTTAGACCACCCAATGAAGACGGGGCTCCAAAATGCGCCTTTGCTGCCTAGCTGGCAGTTGCTTAGGGCAATAAGACAAGTAATTAAAAGAGTAATTCTCTAAAGGGGGGAAATGAACACAAATAAAACTACTGAGATTATAAAAAGCAGACCCAACACATTTTTTTTTTTCTAAACCAGGACTAATAACTGACAGTGATGTTGGAATGCTAACATCCAGAGAATGATCCGAGCAACATTCCGGCTGACATCAGATCTGAAACCAGTTAAAATCCTTTAAACACTGAAACCGCCTGCTTTAGATGCCCTGCAAGATTTTAAAAAAAAAAAAGGCCCTTTCACTGCTACAGCCAATTCCATTCCCAGAGAATTAGTTCCTTTTGGTTTGATATTTGTGTGACTTTTGATGTTTGTGGATAAGGCGTTGCCACCTGGGAGAGTATCTTTGGTTAAAAAGATCCAAAACCCAGAAATACCAGCTGTTTGTCCCAGCTAAAATCGGGTAATACGAGATTTGAAAGGATTTCAAGAGCTCTACGGTTAGAAGTCAGCTTAATTAAAACCTGATATTCGGGATATATGTTTATATTGGTAAGGCCTTCCTGCTTTTTCTCTTTTGGGATCCCGTTTTTGGTAATTTTTTTCTAGTTGACTGGAACCCCCTCTTTAAAAAAAAAAAAAAAAACAAAATGATGTGCTTGTTTCCTCTGTGCACTTCGTTTCCTAAAAATCCTCCTCCCACTTACTTCCCCTCTTCCCTCCTCTTTTTTCTTGGCCATCTTGGGTACCACATGAAAAGATCTAGAGAGAACCTCTAATGACTCAGAGCTCTTAAGGAAAACAGAAAAGGCATCACAGACTCCTCGCTTGGGGAGAAACCTGTTTTTCCCCCGCAGAACCAGAACCCCAAGAGTTGCAAGTGGACAGATTCCTCTCAAGTCAACTCTGCCCTCTCGTATTTCATGACTGGATCTCCTTGGTCCCAGAGACTGCTCTGTCCCGCACTGCGAGAGCCTGGCCCTGCGTGTGTGATGGCTGCCAGAGGCGGCTCGCTGCGGTTGTTTACAGTAAGTGACTATCTAAAAGCTCCACAAGTGATTCTAACATGCAGCCAAGGTTGGAACCACGTCTAACCTAACAGATAAGCAGCAGCCCGGCAAGATGGAGGCTCCAGATGACGGAGGGCCTTCGAGGGCAGGCAGGCGGCCGCTGCTCCTCACCAGGGCTTGTTGGCAAGGCCGTGGTTTCCTTTTCCATGTGTGTCCTGCTCCAGCAGGACTGAAAGTCACCACTGACAGGATCAAGTCGGCTGGCTACAGATAAAAGGGCACATTGTCTACTCAGCCCAAGTGGAAAATCAGGCCCAACAGGCCACCTGGGCACCTGGATTCACATCAACGCAAGGAAAATAGCCACATGGTCCACCATCCTCTATGGTACATAAAAGCCTCAACATTCAAAAGGCAACAAAAACTGACGAGAACCCAGGAAGTCAACAAAACAGGGCCACTAAGAAAATGGAGAGGGCAACACAGCCTCATTCCAAAAGAGCCCACAGAGGCCAGGGGCAGCTCAACCACCATCCGCCAGAGCACCCGGACGCTCCTGCTGCTGCGCTTACAAACCCGGACCCACAGCCCGACCTGAGTGCTGCTTCTCCAGGGGCTGGGTGTGAGGACCATCTGCCTGACCCTGCAGTTAGCCAGGGCAGCAAAAGGGGTCCTGGGAGGGAAAGCCCCCAGCATAACTGCCACTACCCTCAGCACCTGTCCCGGATGCCCCCAGGAAGTAGTGAAATCCTCAAGTATCCAGGTGTAAAATGGAGGACGGACTGAGGACTTCACTTCTTGGATCATTTTAAGCTACTTAATAAGCCCCTGCTCTAAACACTGTGGTTTGGCTGTTTTGTAATGTGTCAAGACCCTCTAAAATTCATCCAAATAATTTTGTCTTCTCACACATCAGAAACATGTGAATATGTGGAATTAGTGGCAGCTATAATGGGTGCAATGTGTAAAGCATAACGTAATTCGAGGAGAGTAAAATAATCTTCTGTTACCCACTTACCTGAAAAAAATGATATAAATACAAGGGGAAGAAAAATGCAGTTCTGCCTCCTCCACATATACTACTAGGAAAAATAAAAGTTCCCAATTCAAAAACATGGGAAAAACCCTCCAACCAAAATAGTACACACAAAATCCAAATCAAAATGGGGTTTAACGTTGGCACCTCTGGAAAGAGATGCCTTAGCTTCCAGCCACACACATCAGTAGAGTTTGCTTTTTATTATTATTACTGTTGTTTTACAATAAAAACAAATAGCTATGCTCTCAGCAAAACAAAATTTTTTTTAAAAAAATCACAGAAATTTACTAACAGCATTTCAAGGTAAGGCTTTTGAAAGATTTATTGAAATAAATTATCTTTGCCTAAAAATTTACCTATCACGTTTTTCAATTACTTTTCAACATTCTAAAAACTTTCAGTTATGTAAAATACATTTAAACTTTGCCAATAATTGTAGATAATACTGGATTCTTCCCAAAAGGACTACCACAAAACAAAGCTTTCAAACAGTTCAAAAAAAAAAAAAAAAAGTAATCCAGTGGGGCATAAAACTGAAGTCTGCAACCTATGACTGCACGGTTCAAATCCTTAAAGTTAAACATGTGAAGAATTTGAAGAGATTTGGGACCTGGGCCTGCTCCAAGGCATGTAGGTTCACACCCTACCTTCTCTGCTGAATTAAACCAGGAAGAACACAGCTAGGAAAACGCAGTGCTCCCAGGATGAAAGATACAAAAGTTCTCTTTTATTTCTTTAATAAAGCCCTTCGAGGTTTACTCTCCCATCTTGCAAGGCCCACATCTTGTTCAAGGACCAAACCCACAGGCTTTAGCATTGCCTAATGTACTTGACCAGTGAATGAAAACCATAAACCAAAGCTTGTTGCTTAACCACTCTGCAGGTCCAGAGGGGACAAGGAAATGCTGAGAGGGGAGGGAACCCATGGGGCGCACTCATGAGATGCAGGAGCACCAGAGTTCGCGGAAATCAAGCCGGCTTTGGACTGGGGGATCAGAAAGTCAGTCCCAGATACAGTGGGACAGAAAGGGGTGATTTTGTCACACCCTGCAGCCCTGGGCTTTCCCCTCCTCTGCTCCAGGTATTGAACCAAGAGTTATTTTTCCAAGACGCCCTGCTGGCTCAGGGGTGCCTGAGCCCGTGGGCCTGGCCTCTGGCACAGTCTACGTGCTTCCACAACAAGGCCAGCGGTTTGATAACAGATGTTACCCCATGATGTGGGGGCGCGCTCACACTGTGCGTCTCCCCGACACTCTTCGCACTGGATGTGGTGCTCAGGACACCTGCATTTGTGGGATGTACACACGAGGCAGGAATTGAAGTTGCCTGCTGCAGGCAGGCGACTGCTCACTTCCTCCTGATCATCCCCTCCCCCAAGCAGTCCAGTCAACACCAGAAGAGATCATGCCTAGAGTTAAAATTTGCAGTGTTTCTACGGGGAAGAGAAATGTCACATAGAAAGTATTACAAAGAAGGATTAAATTTGTCAGCTGTCCAAACACTATAAGACCACATGCTTTATACAGCGGCAATGCAGTCAAGCCCGCTTCTCCACACAGCGGGCAGAACTGGGACAGGCCTCCTCCGGTCGGTGGGGCACAGGGCGCAGGAGGCAGCTGAGGAAGGCAAGGGAGCGCTAGGAGGTCTGCTGCTTCTGAAGTCTCCGTTCCGCGGCGGCAGCCAGCATCCTTCGACGCAGGGTCACCGGGTCAGAGGACGCACCTTCCGAGGGAAGGAAGCTCTCTGAGGCCGCATCATCTTCAGAACTTTTGTTCAAGAAACGTCTAGAAAAAAACAGAAGTTTTTTCTGTCTCATGGGAGAGATGGATTGCTGTGGAACACAGCCAGAAGGCTGATTTCACATCTCCCCACGTCCAGGCACCTTCATGAAGCTGTCACTCAGCACCACCTCATGACCAAGACATCCAGCCCCCAACAGATGGGAGCTAGTTCTCTCTGCACCAGGGAGGAACCCTTCAGTGCTGCTCCGTGCTGTCTCTCCGTGCCCTTCCCCTCTACCCACAGACACAGCACAGAACCCTCACGATCACAGGGTCTGCCAGGGCCCAAACCCACTCGATGAACACAGTACTGGCCCTGTCCTCAAGAGCTGGAACAAAACCCCCTCTATCCACAGGATACACCTGCCGCAGCTGCCACCAACCATGGGGGTGTGACGCACAGATGCGCCATGTGTGTTCATAACGCTCGGCTGAAAGGCAGAGTGGTCGAGAGGGAGGACACCTGGGAGGCAGACGCCAGGGCCAGGCCAGGGCTAACCTCTCCGGCCTCCACTTCTTCAGCTCTATGTCGGCCGAATGGGTTAACAGAGATCCCTCTTAGAGCTGTGAAAATGATTCATATAAAGGGCTTAGAATAGGTTGACACACAAGTGCTCCCTTGGCAAGCGTGGCCAAAGGGGTCCACGGGAGATACCTTAGAGTACCAGCATCAGAGGTAGACCAGTAGGGGCCAGTGTTACCAGATGCTCTGGATTTTTCAAGACAGGCTTGAAATCTGAGTTTTAGGTTGGCATGTAATGGCTTTTCACTGTTGGCATCTGTTTAAAAAGAGAAGACGTGGGCCTGACAACGGCCTTCAGCCACTGGTTTTTGACCTGGATTATGCCAAGTGGGGCTGGAGAAGTGACTCACTTGCGAGCTTGCTGGAGGAGCTCATCCTTACGCTGCACCAGCATGCGCTGTCTCTCATCAGCAGACTTGGAGAAGCGGCTCCCACGAGCCTCAAAGTCTTCCACCTCACTGGGCTCCACTTCCAGCTCGCCAAAGTCCAGCGTCTCCTCCAGGCGAGGACTGAGGTCCAGTGGCACACGCTCGGTCTGGACATGGGGCAGGAAGCAAGGAGGCAGCTGTGAGCACAGGCCTCCCTCCTAAGCAGTTTCCTCACCTACAGGGCACCCTAGACAAGGCAGTTCTGGATGCAAAGAGAAGGCTGCTGCCAAGCAGGGAGGCAGAAACTAGGAACCACAAGCTACAGGTAATGGAGCAGCAGCTTCCCTGAGGGTAGGCCTGCTGCCTATGGCTTGAGTAGTACTAAGAACAGGACCTGACTCACACAGAATGTTCAGTATCAGAGGGATAAGTAAATGATTTCCAGCATGAAAAACGTAAGCACCTTCAAGCTGCACTCTCAGAATATGCTACCAACACGACAACTGTGAGTTTACATCCTGGGAATTTTCTGTTCACTTCTACTAATTGCTCAAAAATGTAAACCAGTCTTATCAAATCTTCCACACAAATTTTATATCCTCAATTGACTCTGAAAACAGAGGTAAAAAGGAAAACTGCTAAGCATCTATTTATTTATTTATTTACAGAGCGGGTCTCACTCTGTCACCCAGGCTGGAGTGCAGTGGCACAATCTCGGCTCACCACAGCCTCAACCTCCCCAGGCTCAGGTGATCCTCCCAACTTAGCCTCCCAAGTAGCTGGGACCACAGGCTCATGCCACCACATCTGGCTAATTTTTGTACTTTTTGTAGAGACAGGGTTTTGCTTTGTTGCCCAGGCTGGTCTCAAAGTACTGGGCTCAGGCAATCTACCTGCCTCAGCCTCCCAAAGTGCTGGGATTGCAGGTGTGAGCCACTGTGCCCAGCCCTAAGGATCTTTTGAAAAGAGACAGGATGGATTATATGGTTCCTTGGCTTTGGTTGAAGCTCCAAAGTCCACGACAATGCCCAGGCACCCCCGCGTCCTAGCAGGTGCCTGACCATCTGCGCTGCTCATGCTCCCAGATGCAGACCTGGGCTGGCCAGGGTCAGCCCATCGCCCGCTTCTAGGCTGTGACAGAGCGGAGGTGGGTGCAGCTGAGAGGCAGGCTGTTTTACTTCAGAGTCCCTGCTGGAGCTACCCTCATTTTTTCCTGCCTTCAGCTAAGCTGGAGAGTGAACTTCAAGAGAACCACTCGTATCCCCTAGAGTCAAAGGACAGGGGACCTGGTGGCTGCCCACACTGGACAAATCCACAGAAAGAAACTGGCAGAAGTCAATAAAAAACACAGCAGGTGGGGAGCTGTGACGGGAGCACGCTTGCCTTCCACTGACTCCAGACAACACTGTGTGCATTCTGGAGCTTGGAAAGGCCTCCTACACAACGGAACCAACCTAAGGTTGTTGAAAACAACTCTGCCCAAAGGACCACTTGGAGAGGTAATGGGACCCCCATGAGGGTGGGAGTGGTCATCAATAGCCAGCCCAGGGTCAAAGGAGGAGTTTCTGGGGCCAGAGAGGGACAGGGGGATAGTTGGCAGAACATGTACACACACACACACAGACACAAATAGTTGGCACATGTATGCACGTACATACACACACACACGCTGGGGTCTCACTGTCCTATCCTATCCTCCTCTAAGCCTGACCCTAGGGCAGGTTAGAAAGAACGGTGAGTGAGGAGGCGAGGAGATGTTAGAAGGATCAGAGCCGCCCACTGCGGCCCCTGCGCTGTGCAGCTGCATGCCTGACTAAGACCAGCCTGAGCGGGGCAGGGCAGAGATTAGAACAGAGGGAGAGGGGAAGGGCTTACTTGGCTACAGTGAGGTTTCTGTTAACTGTTACTCAAGGACTTTTTCTTCACAAATGACCAAAAATGTTGCACAGCAAGGTTTCTTGTGAAACACATACTTTCCTCTATTTTATATAAATATATAAAATCCAGAAATCTTCACGCTAACTCTAGAAGCAGAGGTGGAAAATCAAGACAGGGACTGAATGTGCTGTACCCACAGATGCCCCCAAGCCCACCCAGCATCCATATCTCAGCTTCACCAGCTATCCAAAAACTGGAAATGTAGACATGGACCCCTTCCTTAGAAGTCATGCACCATTTCACAAATGATACATAATCCAATTACAGATGTGGATATGAAAATCTTAAGCCAGTAGTGTTTACTGGCCTAGTAGTGTTTACTGTTTCCTATCTGTAAAACGCAAGAGGTGAAAGCTTGTGTCACTCACCAGTGCTTCTAGAGGAGACCTTGCGCACCCCGGTAAGGAAGGCAGCACCACCCTAGACCCAAGCCAGTGTGCAGGAAAGCCCTGCACGGCGCCAACACAGAAAGGCCAAGGCGGGGTTGTTCAGTGTTTATTTGTGGTCGCCTAAGAAAGTGCTCCGACAGTATGGTAACTGAGGAAGCAAATGGGAATCACAGAAGAGGAGTGGGATCCAGGACCACAGATGTAGGGAGGAGGGCGCAGGTGGGGGTTGGGGGAGGTGGCGCCTCGACCCTGCTGCTTGGAGTTAGGGTGGCCACCTCAAGGCACCCAAAGCGGGCCAGCAGACAGATCTGGTTCTCAAGAAAGCCAGGCTTCCCCCAGCCCCACCCAGCCTCAGGCAGTCTCAGTTTTGCAAAATGCACGGAAGTATCTGGAAATCCTGAGTTTGACAAGTGAGGTGGGGGGAGGGCATCTCAATGGCCTCGGCTCCCTGGAGAGCTTGCCCTAGGCCATCCCCATCTGGGTTTAGATGGGTCCAGGCACCCTCAAGGTCCTGAGCCCAGCTTCCTTCTGTCCTTCCACCGGCTCTCACTCAGGCTCAAGGTGGCAGGGCTGGCCCAGGGGAAGACAACCCCCTTCTCCTCCAGCATGAGGGCAATCCCCAGGCAATGGCTGCCAGCTCTGGGTGGAAACAGGCCACACCACGGGCACAGCCTGACTGGCTGCCCTTCATTATTGGGGCGGATACAGCACAGTTTCTTCTGTACTCTTGCCCTAAGCCTTGCAAGCATCAGGACTGAGGAAGAACCACTGCCGGGACTGGACCACATTCCGCCTCCACAGCTCCATGAATTCTCTCACTAGAGTGCGGGTCTTACCTGAGCAGAAGTTTCTCCCTCTTCCTGGTCACTGCTTGGCCTTTCCACGGGACTGTTCAATGCAGGTCTGATGCTATCTGACCGCTGGAAGAAAAACAGCACCACAAACAATCCAGAGTCACTCAGAAATCAAATCACAGACTCAGGGAAACCCTGGTGTGCAGAGGGAGCTGTGGTACCCAACCCAGCCTGTAACTCTAAGGAAGTCTACAGCACCACAGAAATTAAAATGCCATAAAGATTAAAAGCAAGACAAAGGAGCCTGGGGCCTAACCTAGAGTTCCAAGTCTTAGAGTCAGCAACTGGCCCCACAATTAGTTTGCTTTTGAGTAACAGTAATTAGACAACAAAAACAATGATAACAGCAGAGAACACGGACTGAACACGTAACTTCAGCATGGCACCAAGGAAAACTGGGACATGACTGTCTCATCTGTCTTCACATCCTATGAAACAGGTGCTGCTGTTACTGTCCTTCTAGCCAGTTAAAGATCTCACACAATGCTGCAGACACTCTGGGGACCGGCCAGTAAGGTCTCACCACCTCAGTGCTGGCTGGCCAGTGTCTGTATTTCATTGCCTGAGGACTTTCTGTGGCTGTATGAGGTAGTTCAGCCACCCCCAGAGGCAGACCTCAGCCAGTGAGGGAGAGAATTCCTCTGTGAAGACACCAGCTCCTCATCTCCTGCGAGGGATATGTTCTGCACTGGATCCCAGAGGCCCCAAATGGGAAGGAGCTTCAGCTACCCACAGTGGTAACCTGCTTGATAACAAACCCATTACTGGCCACCCTCCCCTCCCCAGCTCACATCCCTACACACAACCTGTGATCCCTGGGACCACTTCCCAAACTAACTATGTGCATTCAAATCCTTGTCCCAAGGTCTGCCTTCGGGGAAATCCACAGCCAACAGCCAGGTCAAAGAGCTGAGAACTGGGAACCACATCTAATATCTCAGCCCATGTGACTGAGTCTATGCTGTTTCTTCTTCAAAGAGTCTCAGGTTTTAGAATTTTATTAATAGATTTCCACATATTTTTACATATTAAAATTGAATAATCTGGGGTAGATTATTCCCTGGTCATATGCAAATTCCATGGTCCTGCCAGAAGGCTCATCTATATTAATACTTCTTATGCTCATCAAAGTAGAGATCTGACCTTTTTAAAAATCAAAAATACCACCTCAGATAGATGAATGGTAGCTAGTGGAACACCAAACCAGTGTGCAAAGCCAACTAGGGACAAATGGCACAGCTCCTAGAGCAGGGGGTTGGCAAACTGCAGCCTGAAGGTCAAGTTCACTACTCTACTCTACTTACTTATAAATGAGCACAGTCTTGCTCATTTACTTAAATACTATCCACGGCTGCTGTATAGTACTATGACAGCAGAGTTGAGAAGCGACAAAGATGTGTGGCCTGAAATGCCTAAAATATTTATTACCTGCCCTTTAAAGAAAAAAATGTTGCCAATCCTTGTCCAATAGGAACCAACACTATGACTTCCTGGACTGGCAAGGGCAGGCTGGTTTGGAGTATATATTTGAATAACAAGCTACTCAAATACTCACCTTATCTTTGATGTGTCTGTTCTCAGTTATTCATTAGGCAAAGTTAAGAGAGTTGATAGAAACCATTCATTAAGTCATAAATGATATTGAGCTGTTAAGTAACTAAAACAGTTAACCTACAGTATTCAATCTTTGTGAAGATAGAATCCATTTATCATGCTTTAAAACCCCAGTTTTACCTGTGTAGGAAAAGGTACTTGAATCCGTCCTTCTAAAATGTTGTCTGTTGTTATTTCAACTGAGCGTGTCAGCTGGAGGTCCTGCAGCACTAGATGGTATGGAACCTGGGGAAACATCTCTTGAATCTGATGAGCCTATAGGAATACAAATACAGAGTCCACAGAAACATTCACTGTCAACAGTTGCTCACTGAAGTCACAGTGTCTGGCAGGCTTTGGGCAGTGAATGTGGCATCATGCCCTGAAAACACAGGTAAGGGAGCCACCTTTATTCGGTAGGTTACCTTCACACTGTAGTCTCTTTAGTATTTTTCCAGGAAGCCAAACAGGCAACTGTGGACAGCATCAATTTCAACACAAGAAGAGCACAAAAAACCAACTGGATCCCAAGAGAGGCTCGGCTAGAATATTCTAGTTTTAAAAAGTGTTCATTTTAACTACCATTCGAACCAGCAATCCCACTACTGAGTATATACCCAAAGGGAAAGAAATCATTATATACAGCCGGGCACGGTGGCTCACTCCTGTAATCCCAGCACTTTGGGAGTCTGAGGCGGGTGGATCACCTGAGGTCGAGAGTTCAAGACCAGCCTGACTAACATGGAGAAACCCTGTCTCTCCTAAAAATACAAAATTAGCCAGTCATGGTGGCGCACGCCTGTAATCCCAGCTACTCGGGAGGCTGAGACAGGAGAATCGCTTGAACCCAGGAGGTGGAGGTTGCAGTGAGCCGAGATCATGCCATTGCACTCCATCCAGCCTGGGCAAAAAGAGCGAAACTCCGTCTCAAAAAAAAAAAAAAAAGAAAAGAAATCATTATATATGAAAGATACATGTGCTCATATGTTTATTGCAGCACTATTCACAGTAGCAAAAATATAGAATCAACCTAAGCATCCTTCAACACAGGATTTGATAAAGAAAATGAGGCACATATATACCACGGAATATTACTCAGCCATAAAAAAAAAAACAAAATCGTATCTTTTGCAGCAACACTGATGAAACTGGAGGCCATTATTCTCAGTGAAATAACTCACGAACATAAAGTCAAATACCGTATGTTCTTATAAGTGGGAGCTAAACAATGAGTATGCATGGCCATCAAGAGTGGAAAGACAGACATTGCACTATGAAAGGTGGGAGGGTGGGGGGTACGAGGGGAGGGTTGGAAAACTACCTATTGGGTACAATGTTCACTCTTCAGGTGACGGTAACACTATAAGTACAGACTTCACCACTGCGCAATACATGCATGTAAGAAACCTGCACTTGTAACCTGTAAATATAGCAAATAAATAAATGTTTTAAAGTATTCATTTTAAAGCTCAAAATATCTTGGGTATAAAAATGTGTTTTCCTTTAAGATATAATTTCTAAAGGGAAAAAACTTCTGATACACACAGCATGGATAAAATTCAAATACATTATATTAGGTGAAAGAGGTCTGACTCAAAAGCCAGGCGTATGATTCCATTTATATGGCATCTGGAAACAGGTAAAATTATGGGGAAAGAAACTTGATAAGTGGTTGCCAGGGGCTGAGGGTCGGGGAAGGAAGTGGTTGCCAGGGGCTGAGGGTCAGGGAAGGAAGTGGTTACCAGGGGCTGAGGGTCAGGAAAGGAAGTGGTTGCCAGGGGCTGAGAGTCAGGGAAGGAAGTGGTTGCCAGGGGCTGAGGGTGGGGGAAGGAGGTGACTACAAAAGTGTGTCCGGAATTGGTGGGTTCTCGGTCTCACTGACTTCAAGAAGGAAGCTGTGGACCCTCACGGTGAGTGTTACAGTTCTTAAAGATGGTGTGTCCAGTGTTTGTTCCTTCAGATGCTAAGTGCTGATTTGTGTATTTATAAACCCTGAGCTAGACACAGAGTGCTGATTGGTGCGTTTACAATGCTTTAGCTAGACACAGAGTGGTAGACAGAAAAGTTCTCCAAGTCCCCACTTGGTTAGCCAGATACAGAGTACTGATTGGTGTATTTACAAACCCTGAGCTAGACACAGAGTGCTGATTGGTGCGTTTATGATCCCTTAGCTAGACATAAAAGTTCTCCAAGTCCCCACTAGCGTCGGGAGTCTAGCTGGCTTCACCTAGTGGATCCAGCAGCGGGGCCAGAGGCGGAGCTGCCTGCCAGTCCCGCGCCGTGCACCCACACTCCTCAGCCCCTGGGCAGTTGATGGGACTGAGCGGGGCGGAGCAGGGGGCGGCTCGGCAGTGCGGGAGCCCACCGCGGGGCTGGAGGGCGGGTTCGGGCATGACGGGCTGCAGGTCCCGCCCTGCGGGGAGGCAGCTGACGCAGAGTCCTGCCCTGCGGGGAGGCAGCTGACGCCCGGGAAGAATTCGAGTGCAGCCCCGGCAGACCGGCACTGCTGGGGGACCTGGCGCACTCTCTGCAGCTGCTGGCCCAGGTGCTAAGCCCCTCACTGCCAGGGGCTGGCGGCGCCGGCCGGCCACTCCAAGTGCGGGGCCCGCTGAGCCCACGCCCACCCGGAACTCGCGCTGGCCCATGAGCACTGTGAGCAGCCCCAGTTCCCGCGTGCACCTCCCCCTCCGCACCTCTCCGCAAGCAGAGGGAGCCGGCTCCGGCCTCGACCAGCCCAGAGAGGGGCTCCCACAGTGCCGTGGCGTGCTGAAGGGCTCCTCAAGCGCCGCCAGAGTAGACGCCAAGGCCGAGGAGGCGCCAAGAGTGAGGGCTGCTAGCCATTGTCACCTCTCAAAAGGACACTGTGGAGTTTTGGAGGGTGAGGATCAAACTGTTCTATATCTTATGATGATAGATACACAATTATGTGTTGAACTGGATGTTAAAAAGGGTAAATTTTTACTCTATTTCAATTATGCCTCAATTAAAAAAAAAATTATAGAGAATGCAAATTCCTTATATTGCCCTGGAGCTGTAGTTTTCAAACTGTACTCTGGAGACATCTCAGAGTTTACGTAGGGCTCTAGGGTGGGTGTATGTGTAGGGAGAGCAGGCACAGGCCTGGCCACACCACCATCCATACTTTCATCCAAGCAGCTCTGGATTTTTTTTCCACATATGTAAATGAATTCTATAAATGTTTACATTCAAGGTTTTATTTTTGGAAAGGTTCTAATAACTAAAACAAAAAACAGGAAGAAAAAAATAATCGCCTTAGAGGCACAATAAAGTCCCCCTGAGGTATTAGCTCCTAGGAACGTGTTGTTCTGACTGTAGAAGGAGCAGGGAGTATGTCAACGTCAGGACCTTGAAGGAAAAGGTTGGCACCAAATTCTGCTTAGAGCTCTTGCTGGGGGTGGAATGTTGGCAAGATAAGCAGTGCCCAGGGCCCCCAGGGCCTCCTCGTTCCTGCAGTCAGCTTGTTTATGTAAACATGAGTTGATCATTATTTTCCCAGGTCAGGTCAAACCTAACTGGGCAAGAGTCCATAAAAACCTCTAAAATCAGATAAAATTTCTCTTTATTCTTAAACAGCTTCTCCCTCATTTCCCAAATAAAAAATGCCTAAGATCCATTTTACTAGACCAAAGCTTTTCTACCAGAAAATCCAGCAAGTTAATTATTAGATCTTAATAAAAAATGCATGGTTCCAGTAAATTAGTTGTACCAAAAATAGTCCACTCCAAACCATCACAGAACTGGAGGAAGAACAGCCAGGGCCTGCCTGAGAATTCTAAACAACTCCAAGAATGGAATTCTGATTCCTAGGAGGGTTGCACACCCTTGAAGTCTGACTTTGTAAAGGAGGCAGGTGGGGTGGTCCAGCTGCAGAGCTTCAACAACTGCCTGGCCCCAAAGAACCCCCACAATGCCTGCCATGAGCCCAGCAGTAGCTGCACTGGGCTACCAAACTCCCAGGCCACCTATGCACACCAAGATGTCACCCTCTCTCTCTGCTGACAGCCCAGCTGAGGTTTAAGGAGAAAGAGGAACCAGGAGAGTCATGCTTCCTTCTTCTTTTATTATGGCCCCAAACAGATAAGATGCGCCATCTTAACCATTTGTCAAGTGTAAGTGAGCCCTCAGTACCACTATATAGGTGAGTTTCACAGGCTGATTCAGCCAGCCCTGGATCAAGTGTTACGTTGTTACTGACATGTACTGTATAGTTAGGCCGAGGATGGCTGTGTCTGTACTGAACACGCACAGGCTTTCTTGTCATTATTTCCTAAACAATGCAGTGTGTAACAGCCATTTACAGAGCATTTACATTGTATTAGGTATTAGAAGTAGTCTAAAGATGACTCAAAATATATGGAAGATATATGCAGGTTATATGCAAAGAGTATCCCTCTCCCCTCGCTTTTTTTTTTTTTTTTTTTTTTTACCTTAAACTATTAAGGGTTAAAGTGTCCCATCTTATATCAGAGACTTGAGCATCCATGGATTTTGGTATCTGAAGGAGGGCGATGACCTAGAACCAATCCCCAGATATCAAGGAATGACCTACATAGTTCGTGGCAAGTGTTAATCACAGCACAGTAGCTGTGCAACAATCCTGAACTTTTTTATCTTAGCAAAACTGAAACCTATATCTTACAGGAAAACGCTCCTAATTGTCACCTCACCCCCTGCCCTCCTGCAGTCATCATTCTTGCTGCTGATAAGCGTTTTATGTGGTATCCTTTGTCTTTTTGTGGTAGACTTATTTTCAATGCAGCATTAATGTCCTCCAGGTTCATTCTGCCCTGGGCAGGTATGCAAGAGGATTCCCTTCCTTTTGAAGTCTGAGTACTATTTCCACTGTACCAGGTTTGATCATATCTTCGCCCTTATCATGCCAACACCATCTCACAGCAGACCATTAATCAGTTGACTAATCCCCCACTACTGGCTGTTGAGCCACAGCCTTCTTTTTCAAATCAAATCTCAACGACAGAGAGACCGCGCGAGCACAGATTTTTATACATCTTTCGCTTACACAGGCAGCCTCTCTCGCTGCTCAGCTCCCACCTACCTCTAGCTTGTTCTTTCAGCTTGATCTTCTTACTTGTTCTGTCCGGCCCATGCATCTCTACCCCCTCTGGTGATCCTTGAAGAAAAGGATCATTCCTATGCGCATACCAGACGTATTTCGAATCTACCTTACAAAACAAAGACCAGGGGACGCGCGGCTCAGGGCCTGTAACTGTCCCCAGGCAACTTTCGGGAGACAGGCCCAGGTGGATCACTCATGAGGTCAGAGTTCGAACGCGCATCCGCCTGGCCAACATGGTGAAACCTCCATCTCTACTAAAATACAGAAAAAATTAGTCCCAGGTGTGATGTACACGCCTGTAGTCCCCGCAGCTCTCAGAGAAGGTCTAAGGCGGGAATTGTCTTTGAACAGAGTTCAGTGAGCCAAGATCCCGCCACTGCCCCTCCAAACCTGCCGAAAGCGAGGCGAGACCCGCAGTCTTAAAAAAAAAAAGGTGGGGGGGGGGAGGCGTGGAGGAAAACCTGACTTGTAACTGACAAATTGCTACAGACTCAGTGTAACAACTCTGAGAGGTAAAAATTCCAGGGCACTCAGGCCGAGGGAGCTCCCCTGTAATACTGTGAGATTCGGTGCCAACAGTGATCCTACAAGCATCCCCTCCTGCTTCCAGCACAGGGAAGGGAAAAAGCACCTCAGTGAAATCAGCCAGGACACTCTGTTCTTAACAACGTCTGCCCTCAGGAGAAACTACTCAACCAGAACCTCATCTGCTGGGGTCTGATTAGAGCTGCACCCACCAGAGGGAACTCCAGTCCGCTCGAGCTATCCTGTCCCACAGGAGGAGGGAAACCGGAGAAGTAGGTTGAAGTTCACAGTCCAGAGCATGGGTTCACTAAAGGATGGAGCTCTAATCCCAGGACTACAGAATACTTCTTTCCCTCCCCCGACACCTACATCACGACAGGCCTGTTCACCACAGTCCCTTTTACACAGTACATCGTGTTCAACTATCATGAAAAAATTATAAGGCATACTAAAATGCAAAAAACACAATTTGAAGAGGCAGAGCAAGCATCAGAGCCACACAGAGCAGAGATGCTGAAATTAACAGACTGGGAATTTAAAACTATGATTAATATGCAAAGAGCACTAATGGATAAAGTGGACAGCATGCAGGAACAGACGGGCAGCATGAGTAGGCAGATGGAAATCCTAAGAAAGAACCAAAGAGAAGTGCCAGAGACCAGAAACACCAACATGAGCGAAGAATTCCCGTGGCAGGCTTATTAATAGATGGACCCAGTTGAGGGAAGAATCTCTGAGCCTGAGATACACACTTTGAAAATGGAAAAGCAGGCCAGGTGCAGTGGCTCACACCTGTAATCCCAGCATTTTGGGAGGCCAAGGCAGATGGATCAACTGCGGTCAGGAGTTCAAGACCAGCCTGGGCAACATGGTAAAACCCCATCTCTACTAAAAATACAAAAATTTAGCCATGCCTGTAGTCCCAGCTACTAGGGAGGGTGAGGCAGAAGAACTGCTTGAACTTGGGAGGTAGAGGTTGCAGTGAGCCGAGATTGTGCCACTGCACTCTAGCCTGGGTACAGAGTAAGACTCCATCTCAAAAAAATGGAAAAGCAAAGAGAATAAAAACTGAAAATAACAGAGTAGAAAATTCAGGGACTGTGGGACAACTACAAAAGGTGTAAACGCACTTAATAGGAATCGCAGAAGGAAAAGAGAAAGGAACACAAGAAACATTTGAAATGATAATGGTTGAGAACTTTCCCAAATTAATGTCAGACACCAAACCACAGATCCAGCAATCTTACAGAGTGCCAAGCAGGACAAATGCTAAAAAAAAAAAAAGAGGACACCAACGATATAAAATCCAAATTATAGAGAATCAAAGATTAAGAAAAACATCCTGAAAGAGGCCAGAGGGAAAACCACCTTACCTCTAGAGAAGCAAAGACAGAAATGACATCGACAGCTCCTCAGAAACCCCACAAGCAAGAAGATAGCGAAGGGAAACATTTAAAGTGTTAAGAAAAGACTCACCAACAGAGAATTCTATACCCCACAAAATTATCCTTCCAAAGTGATGCAGAAACAAAGACTGTCTCAGACAAACCAAAGTTGAGGGAATACGTTGCTGTGAGACCTGCCTTACAAAAAATGTTAAAAATAAAAAATTGTTGAGAGAGAAAGAAATCGATATAGGTCAGAAAGCTCAGCTCCACATAAAGAAAGGAAGAGCATCAAAGAAGGTATAAATAAAGATAAACAAAAACTGTTCCTTAATCTAACAGAACATTCGGTTCAAAATAACAGCAACAGCGCATTCAGTTTATGTGTGCTCGTGCGTGTGTGTGCTTATGTACTCACATACAGGTGAAATGAATGACAACAATGATACAAGGGACAGGAGCGAGGAATTAGGATTGTTTTGTTATCAAAAGGTACTCACACTTCCCATGCAGTGGTACAGTGTTATCTGAAAATAAACGAATTAGTTGCAAATGTATATTACAAACTCTAGAGCAACCATTAAAACAAGCTTGTCCAACCCATGGCTCACACAGCTTTGAATGCAGCCCAATACAAATTTATAAACTTTCTTAAAACATTATGAGATATTTTTAATTTTTTTTTTTTTTAGCTCATTAGCTATCATTAGTGTTAGTGTATTTTATGTGTGGCCCAAGACAATTCTTCTTCCAGCGTGGCCCAGGGAAGCCAAAAGATCGGACAGCCCTGCATTAAAACAAGTAAAAAGAAGTATACTAATACGCTAAGAAAGGAGAGAAATGGAATTCTATAAAAATGTTCAATTAAAACCACAAGAGGCAGAGAAAGAGTGGAAGACAAAAATAGGAACAAAAAACAAAGGCAACAAATAGAAAACATTAACAAAATTGTAGTTATTAATCCAAATACATTAATAATCACTTTGAACATCAATGGCTTAAATGTACCAAATAAGAGAGGTTGTCAGAGTAAATAAAAAAAACCAAGACCTAACTGAATGTTGTTTACAAGAAACCCACTTTAAAACAAAGACACATACAGATTAAAAGAAAATGGATTAAGAAAAATATACCACACCAACACTAACCAAAAGAAACCAGGAGCAGCTATATTACTTTCACAGAGCAAACATCAAAGCACGCAAAGTTATCAGGGATGAAGAACAGCATTACAAAATGATCATGGGGTCAATTCTCCAAGAAGACATGGCATCTTTAAAGTATATATACCTGCTGCACAGTGGCTCACGCCTGTAACCCCAGTACTTTGGGAGGTCAAGGAAGGCAGATCACTTGAGGTCAAGAGTTTGAGACCAGCCTGGCTAACATGGTGAAACCCATCTCTACTAAAAATACAAAAATTAGTTGGGTGTGGTGGCACATGCCTGTAATCTCAGCTACTCAGGAGGCCGAAGCAGAAGAATCGCTTGAGCCCAGGAGGTAGAGGTTGCGGTGAGCCGAGATCGGGCCACTGCACTCCAGCTTGGGCAACCAAGTGAGGCTCTGTCTCCAAAAAATAAATTACTTAATTAAATTAAATTAATTAATAAAGTATATACACCTAACAACAAAGCGTCAGACAAACTGAGGCAAAAATTAAAAGAACCACAAAGAGAAACAAATAGATTTGGAGACTACAACACCTATCACAAATGAGTTAGCTAGTGAACTCTACCAAACATTTAAGGAAGAAATTATACCAATTCTCTACAATCTCTTTCAGAGGATAGAAGCAGAAGGGATACTTCCTAACTCATACTATAAGGTTAGCATTAATACTAAAACCAGAGAAAGATTACAAGAAAACTACAGACCAATATCTGTCATAAACACATAAGTAAAAATCCTCAATAAAATATTAGCAAATCCAACAATGTATAGAAATAATTATACACTACATCCAAGTGGTATTTATCCCAGGTACGTAAGGCTGGTTCAACATTTGAAAATAAATTAATATAATTCAATATTCCCGACAGGCTAAAAAAGAAAAGTAACATGACCTTATCAATAGATGCAGAAAAATCACTCGACAAAATCCAACACCCATTCATGATAAAAACTCTCAGTAAAATAGGAATAGAGGGGAACTTTGTCACTGTGATAAAGAATATCGACAAAAACCCTACCACTAACATCATGCTTAATGGTGACAAACTCAAAGCTTTCACATTAAGATCAGGAACAAGACAAAGATGTCCCATCTAACCACTGCTTTCCAATGTCATCCTGGAAGTCCAAGCTAATACAGTAAGACAAGAAAAGGTAAACAGATTGGGAAGGAAGAAATAAAACTCTTCAGATGACATGCTCGTCTACGTAGAAAATCTGGAAGAACTGATAAAAATACTCTTGGAACTAATAAGCAATTAAAGCAAAGTTGTGAGATACAAGGTTAACAATACTACAGTCAATTGCTTTCCTATATACAGAAACGAGCAAGTGGAATTTGAAATTAAAAGCGCAGTATGCTTTATATTAACCCCCACAAAACAAAATATTTAGGACAAAATACGTATAAGATCTATATGAGGAAAATTACAAAATCTTGATAAATGATAACAAAGAAGAATGAAATAAATGGAGAGATAGCCCATGTTCATGGACAGAAAGACTAAATATTGTCAAGATGCCCATTCTTCCCAACTTGACGTACAGATTCAATGCAATCCCAATCAATATTCCAGCAAGTTATTTTGTGGATATTGACAAAATGATTCTAAAGGTTATATGAAGAGACAAAAGACTCAGGATAGCCAATACAATATTGAAGAAGAACAAAGTTGGAGGATATGACACTGCCTGTCTAAAAGACTTGTTACAAAGCTACAGCAATCAAGACTCTGTGGTATTGGCAAAAGAACAAATAGATCAATGGAACAGAACAGAGAGCCCAGAACTAAACCCACATAGTTAGCTGATTTTCGACAGAAGAGCAAAGGCAATACAACAGAGAAAAGATACCCTTTTCAACAAATGGTGCTATAACTGGCCATTCACATGCAAAAAAATAATCTAGACACAGCCCTTATACTCTTCACAGTAACTCAAAATGGATCACAGGCCTAAATGTAAAATGCAAAA